CGCTGAAGACAAAATGGGTGCATAGGAAAATGATGAAGAAAGCTGATGGTACCCAGCTGTCAAAGGATATAGCATTTGGGGTCTAAAAGGCTTGAAGATAAACAAGCGGCCATCTAGCTGAGAAGCAACAAAGTCCACATAGAAGAAGCACACTAGCCTGTGTGATCATGAGGTGTTGATGGGATCAGGCATCAGGCATCAAATACCCAGAACAAAAAATCATATCATTGTGAATGAGGGGGAGCGTGGAGTGGAGACCCAAAGCCCATCTGTAGACAATTGAACATCCCCTTACAGAAGGGCCACAAGGAAGAGACAAGCCAGTCGGGTTGCAGTATAGCACCGATGAAACATACAACTTTCCACTAGTTCTTTAATGCTTCCTCCCCTTGCCCCCCCCCCACTATCATGACCTCATTTCTACCTTACAAATCAGGCTAGACCAGAGCATGTACACTGCTACAGATAAGAGCTTGCAACACAGGGAATGCAGGACAGATAAACCTCTCAGGACCAATAATGAGAATAGAGGTACCAGGAGGGGAAGGGGAAGGTGGGGGGAAAAAGGGAGAACCGATCACAATGATCTACATATAACCCTTTCCTAGGGATGGACAACAGAAAAGTGGGTGAAGGGAGACAGTGGTCGGTGTAAGACATGGGGAAAATATTTTATAAATTATCAATGGTTCATGAGGGAGCATGGGGGATGGAGGGGGAAAATGGGGAGCTATACCAAGGGCTCAAGTAGAAAGAAAATGTTTTGAGAATGATGATGGCAACAAATGTACAAATGTGCTTGATACAATGGATGGATGGATGGATTGTGATAAGAGTTGTACGAGCCCCCAATAAAATGATTTTAAAAAAAGATAAAGTGTCTGGGGCTTAAAGGCTTGAAGTTAAACAAGCAGCAGAGAAGCAACAAGTCCACATGGAAGAAGCACACCAGCCTGTGCGATCATGAGGTGTCAACAGGATCAGGTAACAGGCATCAGAAGACCCAAAACAAACAAACAAACAAACAAACAAACAAACAAACACACTTATCATTGAGAATGAGGGCATCAGAGCAGAGACCCCAAATCCATCTGTAGACAAAGGACATCCCCTCTCAGAAGAGTCACAGGTAAGGGACAAGTCAACCAGGGCGTCTGCAATATAGCACCGATGAAACACAGTGTTCTTCTGGTTCCTTGAAGCTTCCTCATTCCTCACTCTTGTGACCCCAGTCCTGCCTTTCACTTCAGGCTAGACCAGAGTATGTACACTGGTACATATAAGAGTTAACGACACATGGAATCCAGGTCAGATAAACTACTCAGGAATAGAAATGGGAGTAATGATACCAGTAGGGTAGGGGGAAGGTGGAGAGATGGGGGAAGAAGGAGGAATCAATTGAAATGATCCACACATAACCAAACCCACCTCCTCTTGGAGGGGGACAAACAAAAGAAACCATGGGGGGAAGGGAGATAGTGGTCGATGTAAGATATGAAATTAATAATAATTTATAATTTATCAAGGGGTCACTAGGGTGGGAGTGAAAAAAGAGGAGTTGATACCAAGGGCTCAAGTAGAAAGTAAATGTTTAGAAAATAATGATGGCAACATATGTACAAATATGCCTGATGCAATTGATATATGGATTGTTATAAGAGCAGTAAGAGCCCCCAATAAAATGATATTAAAAATAAAAGAGGACAGAGAACATTAACGAATACTTCACACCAAAGAAGACCAACAAACACGAAGAAATATTTATCCTCATTAGCCATTTCTCTCCCTCATTGAGTAGATTCCAACTCATAATTACCCTACGAGACAGACAGAACTTATCCTTAGAGCTTCTAAGTCAATACATCTTTGTTGGTGCAGGCAGCCTCCTCTTTCTCCCACTGAGTAAACCGGTGCTTTAAAATGCCAACCTTGTAGTTAGCTGCCCAGTGCTTACTCATTGAACCACCAGGCCTCCTTAGCAACAGAGAGATGCAAATCAAAAGACAATGACATATATTATACCCCAGAATGAATAGCAAAGTTAAAAAATAACAAAATTAAAAGTGCAAGAAAGGGTGTGGAAAGTCCAGCAATCTGAAACTATGAAATAAACTATTTAATACAGCAATCCAGCTACTAAGTACACATTGCAGAGATATAAGAGCCATGATGCAACTATATGAGGGGTACCCCCCAAAATCAGGAGTGGAGCTTTCATAGTATGCATTTTTCCTGCTAGGCGAGCATCGAGCAACTCACTCTGAGTTACTGCACCCAGTGGCCTTGCCTGGGAAGGTTCTCTTTGGTCACAGTGAATATTTTTGTAAGAGCAGTTTTGCTGGAACCTCGTTGTGTGTGTGTGTGTGTGTGTGTGTGTGTGTGTGTGTGTGATGGCCAATTTAAGAGAATAGCATGCAGCTGTGAAATTTTGTTTTCTGCTCATGAAAAATGCCACATGATGTTGGACACAACTTACAAGGATAGCACTATGGGAAAAACTCAAGTGTATGAACGGTTTTCTTGTTTCAAAAGAGGAGAAATGTTGATTGATGACAAACCTCATTCTGGACGCCCGTCAACTTCCTGAAAGGATGAAAATATCGACTCATAGTGCATTTGGAGTTCATTCCACCAAGTCAGACTGTTAATCAAGCTTTCTACTCAAGAGGTTCTGAGAGGATTGTGTAACCATGTGCAACAAAAAGACCTGATTTGTGGCAGATGGGGAACTGGTTTTGCCACCACAGCAATGCACTTGCTCATGTAGCCATCTTAGTGTACCAGTTTTGGGGAAAAAAACCAACAACTCAACATGCCTCTTTTGCCGTATGCACCTTACTCATTTAACCTCACTCTGTGCAACTTCTTTTTGTTTCCATGAATGAAGAGGGACATGAAAGGTGAGTGATTTGATGATGTAGAAGAGGTGAAGAGAAAAACCAAGGGAGGTGTTGTCAGCCATCCAAACAGATGAGTTTGAAAAATGTTTCCAAGAATGAAATCACAAATTTGACAAATATATTAAGTGTAATGGAGAGTACTTTGAAGGTGATAAGGTTGTTTTGTAAAAAACAAATTTAATTACATTGCTTTGAAAAAAATTCCAGTTTTTTGTGTGTATGTGTCGGGGGACTCCTTGCATACATGCCCATGTCCATGGAATCGTTATTCACAAGAGCAAAAAATGGGACTCAACCTAAGTGTCTATCAATGAATAAGATCGCTAAACACTTTTCCCACTCTATCTTTAACAAAATTGTTTGTACCTAAGGCACAACTCTTGGTCTCTCCCATCTAGAGCAAAGAAGAGTGAAAAAATCAAAGATGTAAAGAAACAATTAGATTAAGGGACTAATGGGCCAGAAGAACCAGCTGGTGCCTTCCTCCAGTCCTGATGTTCCATTCTTCTTCAAAGAATCCAGGTACTCTGATGATTTATTTAGCATGCAGAGTTAAGAGTATGGTGAGAGCACACAGCCTTGACTTACATCTTTCCTGATTTTAAACCACACAATATTTCCTTGTTGTGTTTGCACAACTGCTTCTAGACCCATATACAAAGGTAAATACATACTTATAAATGTCCGTTGTCAAATATATGTTCTATGTATATGTTCTATACATATGAACATATATAGAGAGAGATTAGACAGAGGACATTTGTATGTGTGTCTTCATTGCTGCAAACATATCTATGAATGTGGTGGAGTATATAGAAATTATGAATACTTCTTAGACATACCCAAACTCTCTGGGGGAATGAGTCATTGAGCCTGGGAGATCAGAACTATAGTTTTGAGGGACACCATGGGCAACTGGGCATAGCATGGTTTACAAGACAATGTCCTACATCATACTTGGGTGAGTATCAACGTAAACATTCACAAGCCTCGCCCCATCTCCAACCCTCATTGTGTAAATAGTAGTAAATCACCTAAGTTGTTAATTTCTACAAGTCAACAATCCATGCATTTTGGCCTAAGGAAACAGATTATTTATTAAGTCTTAACAGAGACAAAAAGAGAGAGAGACAAAGACAACACAGAGACACAAACACATCATCCAGATGGGAGGCCATTAGTGCAAGGTCAAAATGACATCCAAGCGTTCATTGAGATACCAAGCTTTTTATTTCTCTTCAAATTGTATCAGCTTTATTAAAGATACTTTTCATAAACTATCACGGAATTCAGGCAGGACATGGGCAGACGATCTCGTTAACAGCATATAACAACTTTCAAACTCCCTTCTTCAATGGACTACCAAAATCAGAAAGCCACTGTAAAGCCCACTGAAGTCTCAGGGTGATGCTCTGAACGGGGAAAGTTTAGAGTGAGGGTGGACAGTTCACATTTAGCATGTTGTTTTAACAAGTTTTCAC